ATCTTCAGAACCTAAGGAAATTATGCAAACTAAGAAGTGAGAATAACATCCTAAATATACAAAAATGGAATAAAAACGCACCATTTGTTTCAAGTTACAACTACCACTTGCTACACTCGAACTCCTGTGTTATGATGGAAAGCTCCTCCAACCGTCTGAACACGTGTCTGTTACCTCCAGTACACCTGTATCAATCACTGCCCAACTGCAGGCTCACTGGCTGTGCAGACGATGACATAAGCAGCGTGACATCCACTGAGTGACATCTGCTGCCCCTCTGACAGACGAGAATGGCTGAGGAGCCCAGTGACAGGCAAGATGAAATGTGCAAAACCTATTTGATATACAGTGTCTACAGCTCTGTTGACCTCTCTCCACTCAAGTTAACCTTTCCCCTTGCTTTAGCCATGTCTAACCTCTAAGGCCCCAGGCATGCACTATTCTTGCTTTACGCATTTTTTCCCCTTATAGGAGGGTTGCCAAACACTTGGGTTTCAGAAGTTCAATTTTTACAAAATTGAGTCCACACCCTAGCATCCTCTTGGATTCTAATGGACACAGCTAAGTGATAGGAAAGGCCAGTGTGTCTAGGAACGATTCTAAAGTATTTTATTTTGTCATCTTTCCATATATTATAAATTCCTTCCTATTAATTCCATTCTGTTTATCACCTTTCCCTAATCTTGCAATTCCAAACTCTTTACCCTAATTACCTTCTATTACTTCTTTCAGTCCCTCCTTCCAGTAGAAAGCTATATGAGCTAAACACCTTCTTTTTGAAGGTAATCCAAGTTCATGTGTAAGTACTTGTGTAAGTACTTTATTTAAACTACATGGATATTTGGGAAAAACTGTCATTAGAGGGATAACAAAAAATATCCAGCTCTTTTCTGTAACACCCCTCAAGGTTTTAATTTTGAAGCAATCAAATCTCATGCAAATATTCTGTTGCTTCTTGTTTGAGCCAGGATTAGGGAAAGGGAATAAACAGAATGGAGTGACTGTTTTTTCTGCATCATGTAGAACTACAGGATAATGTAGTTTCTCAAAGAACTTCTTATGACTCTAAAAAACCCAAATACTACAATTGAAGTCATCCTTCCATTTAGATATAACAACTTCCACCCTCCCAAGAAGACAGGAAGCTTCTCTAAGGAAACAGACTTTTTGAGGACAGCAGCTTGAATAAAGACACAACGCATTTTTCTCCATGCTTTACTCCAAGGAAGTAACATGGAAAACTAACAAGTCAGTATAAGTGAACAGTTCTATATCACTCTACTTTGGAAGATTTGGAAGAAAGTTGTGGTTAAAATGTATTGTAAACTGTGACACCACCTCTCAGTTCTGCAAAACTAATAAGCAATGTAATAGCTCTTACAGAAGAACATCTGTGACTAATCCAGCTAGCACTAATTAAGTGATCTTTGACCTACTAAGGCACGTTGGCATAACATATACAGTTTAATTATTCATACATTACTACTTGATATGAGTTGCACTGGACCTTGCCCCTACTGTTTGACAGCAGAAAAGGAGGTAAAAGTTTTTACCTCTCCTTCCTCTTACCATTTCTATAACTGGTAATTCTATATTGAAATTAACACACATTCTATGAAGAGCCTGTCAGATAACTTTCTTGTTACACATTCAAACACATTTGATTTGCTAAAAGAAGAACTTTTTTTTTCTTCAATTTGTACATTATTTTACTTGTCAGCTTTGAAAAGTAATAGGTCTGTGTCTACTTAGCAGCAGACCTACTACTAACATACCAGCAAAATTTAAAAAGCACACAAAATAAAACAGAAAACAGACAGCTACTCCAGGAAAACATGAATAGCACATCTTATTTTGAACATAAAGTATGTACAAGTATAAATACTGAAGTGTGTATTCTGAAATTATGTGAGGAACGAAGAAATTTTGCAGGTAAAGTTGACAGTTGCCCTAGAACACTCTCATGTTAAGGCCAAACATGTTAAGGCTGTTTATACTCAAGTCTGTAACATTCACCTTTGCCCTTAGGAAGCTCAAAACTAGACTTTCACCTTTCAGAACTCAAGAAGCTGAAATTCACCTCACACTAACATGACACAACATTTTCAAGCATCATATACCAAGATTCACAAAGGAACTCACACATATAAAACTGAATCACCACTATTCCTCACATCTTTTAGTCAGTTAACCTCAAGCAGATTACCAGTCCTCTTCCAGACTACCTGCATTGCCAAGTGAAATTCTTCTCCATAGGAATAAGTGCAAAAATTGAGGACAGCCATACCCTCTCAACTTCTTGCTCTTCCCAAAGAGACAGGGAAATACAACACATAAATTAAAGGGTACACTGGGCCCTGGAGATTTTTATCATCACTGCAAAAAGGTTGTGTGCTTGTTATTATATGTCAGCATCATATACCAGCATAAGAATGCTGAAATATGTAAAGATTTGGCATGATGACATACTTTGCTAAAGTATGCTATAATTTACATCAGCAACACAGCATGAAGAAATGAATGATACATGAACTAATGAGACTAAAGGAGGATGAGGCAACGGTAATAACCAGATGGTTTTGTCTAGGCTGGTGATATAGGCAAAGTAGCTTACCTACTGCCTAGTCTTGATAGGTAGCATTCTGTAAGGCTCCTGGCAAGGTTTGCCTCACAGGGAGACATGGAGAAAAGAACGAAGAACCAGTGGGCAAAAACCATCCTCAAAATATCATTCAAGCAGCAGCACAGCTATTATTGAAACAACCGAATGTTGGACGTTAGAGTTTGGAATCCATGGCCACAACACAGTACCACTGGTAAATAAGACCTAAGCTGTGGAGGGACTCAAAAGCATAAAGCAACACATACACACACAAGTGAAACAATCAAGTTTGCAAGCCTGGTATGTACTTTAGCAACTGCATTTCCAACAGATTCGAGAATGCAAAATAACTATAAAGAGAAGATTATAGAAGCAAGGGACAAAGGATCAGAAAGAGTACAGTTCCGAGGGAGGAAAAGGAACAGATCAGGTCAGGCTCTCACAAGTCCATTCAACTGCTGAATTAGCTCAAACATAACTCATAAGTTATCTCGCTTTCCAATTCTCACTGATCTTGTAATAGTGTCTGGTCCACCTAACACATATGAATACCTCAGATTTTTAACACTGTACCTAGCAAAATTCAAGATTCACACAGGAAGGACACATTCCACATACAGCATTAAGGCTAATGCTTACTTTCAGAACATTGACTCTCAAGCCAATACATGCATTGCCATTGTCAAGGCCTGCAGATCAACATCAGAAGACATACAAGCAAAACAGTTTAGTGGGGACAACCCAGAATCCACAATAACATTTATTTCAGGGGTAGGAAGATTACTCTAGACAGACTCTACCCTTCTTCTATAAACAAATGCTACTAGTAGTAGGAATATATTAAATGCACTTCAAAACTGTTCTGGACTTGCATCTATGTTTGAAAATGTGCTTCAATCTGAATGTAATCTGGTTTGTGTGCTCCAAGATCACCTCTCAATAAAGGCAGAGCAAGGTAAATACGGACAGTTAAGATTCACTTTAAAAGAATACTCTTGATCTTACAACACACAGATACTCCCAGAACATCTGCATGGCCTAGTCTTTCTTACAAATAGCACTATGATATATCAGGTGGGAAAATCTCGCACTACAGTGTAACTGTCCCAGACCCTTATTTTTGTGCCCTTCCACTCAGCTTTTCTCCTTTTTTTACAACAGCATTTCACTAAATTTGGCAGAGATATCTGAAAAGAATCATCCCCCCCTGTGAGTTTGCATGAATTGTCAGCAGTGCATCAACGTCTGACATGATGTATGACATTACTCAACTTCACGAAACTCTTACAGATATCGTGTATGAAACGATTTAGGTAAAATAAAACTGGATTGTTGCTTAATCACAGGTATGTTATTACAAAAGTCTGTTGAGTAAGTCCCTTTCACGAGTATCACTACAAGATACCTACTGTAATACTGTAACATACCGTGTCTTTAGCATATGATCATAATCCTACAGCCAAAAATAGTGTAGAATTGTGAAAGCATTGAATCTGAGATATGTTCTTCATCCACCACACTTTATGGCACCAGTGCTTTGTAGGATATTAACTAATACACACCCGAGCAGCATACACCTGTAAAGGGACCTCACAGGGAACATCACCAGATTCGGCCTCTTTGAAACTGTTGTCCGTGTCCCTTATTGTCACACGGCTGCATCCAAACAACACCTGATGTCCACGAACTGCCCATGCAGACATGGGCATCCCTATAAGTCAGCTGTTAATACTTGTTCACAGCCAGGAAAACAGAAAAAGCGAGCATGATTTGGGTAACCAGGTGGCGGTGGCTGGACTCTCGCAAGAGGGGCACCGACCTCACCCCGGGGAAAGCGGCGGGGGAGCAGCCTGAGCCCTGTGCCCGGGAGCCTCACCGGGCAGCGGGCGGCGGCAGATCCCCTCCGCCGGGCCCAGGGCCGAGAGGGCGAGCACAGCTCCCCCCGCCCCGGCCTCCCGGCGCCGGCCCCGCGGCTCTCGCGGCCCGGCCCGCCCCGCTCCCCGGCCCCGCTCTCACCCGTGCTGCGCCGCCGCCCGCCGCTTGCCGAGCAGGCAGAGCAGCGCGCAGGCGGCGGCGGCCCCGGCGATGGCGGAGTGCCGCGCGGTCAGGAACTTGCTGTAGGCGGCCATGGCGAGCGCAGCGCGGACCGCCGAGCCGAGCCGAGCCGAGCCGAGCAGCGCAGCCGACCGAGCAGCCGAGCGGGGGATGCCGGGAGGGGGCGGTGCCGCCCGGCCCCGCTCCGCCCGCAGCACGGGCAGCGCCGCGCCGGGTGCGGGTTGTGCAAGGGGGACGAGGTAATTACCGATCCCTCGCCGTTCCCTGGCACAGGGCGAGCCCCCGGCGGCCGCAGGGAAGGGGAGGGAAGCGGTTGGGCCTGGCCTGCCGCCGGCTGCTATGGCCCGAGGTCGGGCTGAGGAGCCTGAGGGCCTCCCCCGCCAGCCCGCGGATTCTCCTTCCCGGCACCTTCGGCTCGGCACCTCCGGCCGCCGGGGCTCCGGTCATTCACTGCCACGGGGGTCTTTGTACAGGGTGACTCCCGAGCGCGTATTAGGAATGACTTGTAAATGTGGTGACAGTACGAAATAAAAACTTTAAAAAAATAATTAAAAATTTTAAAAATTTCAGAGAAACTTTGATGTAAGTTTTGCCACACTGCTTTGTCTTTTTGTTTGGTTGGAGTTGTTTTTTATTTTTTTTTTTGTTAGTGCCATGAGAGGAGCTGCTAAGACTGGCTGTCAGAGGGCGGAATGAGTTGTCACCCATGTAAATGCAGGAAAACAATCCCTGTTAAGGGCAGAGCCACGCCAGTACAGCAGGAGATACCAACCAGCCTTCTCCCACAAAACCAGTTAAACTTGCACAGGTGCTTTTTCCAGCAGAATTAATAACAGGTTGGCAAGTCAAGCTATACTAGCAAAAACACCCATGCCAGCATAACTGTATTTACACTGGATCTTCCCTTGTGATCATATCCCTCAGACACCTGATAATGTGTATGAAGTGGGCGTGCTTTCCATAGGAACTGGTCAGTCATATATTGAAAACCTGTATTGATGTTATGGTTAACACTGACATGACAAAACAATTTATCTAATCAAACTTAAATGCAGATCAAAATGCGGTTAAAATCAATGTATCTGGTTTTGGTCTCAAAAAATGTTTTCATACAGGCATTTAAAAACATTTGAATACCTTTGAATGTTGTGCTTTTGTTACTGTAGTGTAAGAGTGTGCATATAGGTCAGTCCATTTATCGAATATTCTGATTTCTTCCAAGTATGTCTGCCTGGAGTAGCAGGGCTGAAGCTGCAGTTTGAGAAGTAATCCTTGGATCTTCATTCTGAATCACCATATACACTTTTCTTTCTTGCTCTCTCTCCCCATCCTTGTTATCATCAGACACTTTGGGGCAAGTTTATATTTTGATATAAAAGCTGGAGTCTCAAACCAGCTTTTCTGAACCAGCTTGGTCTCAACCCTAATTGTTGCATTTTCTAGAGCAATAGAGTCAAGACTGCTGGCAGGACTCTGGCACTTTTTCTGTGATCTTTGACAAATCAGTAATCTCCCTGCTTTATAATATTGCTGTAAATTGGTGGTTTTGTTAGGGAGGGGAGATGATAAACTATTTGAGGTGTTTCAGATCCTCAGGAAAATATACAGCAGAAACACACGGCATTAATAAATTAATTTCATTTTACAAGATGAATGTGAAAATATCTTGATTTTTAAAAAATTAAATACTTTGGAAGTAGGTAAATGGGAGAACCTAAGCAAGGGGTAGTTTCTTTATCAAAATAAACTTCTTATACTAAAATCATTACAAAAAATGAAAATTTCTGCAAGTTTTCAGGTTTATGAATCTTTGTAATACAGTTTTACTTCTACTTTTAATCTCAATATCAGCGCAGAGATAGGAGTATTATGGTACTGCTACGCTTTTCTTTACAAGTTCTCTTCTGTCTTTAAGCTTAGCTTGATTGTACCCTTGCACAGAATTTGCTATCTCATACAGTCTGACTTGTTTACATGAAATGTCCATCAGTTTGGGCCATGCTGACCTTTGTTGTTTGCATGTCTGCATGACTCACGTTCTGCTGTTTGTCTCCTTCAGTGTCCTTATCCCACTTTTCGACACTAGCCAATACCATGTCCTGCTACATATTTTATTTCTCTTCTAACTCATCAGCAAATAGTTTCACATATCATCTTCTAAGAAACTTGTCTCATGCATCCAACCCTCCACTATGTCTTCTACTGCCTCCACTCTTGGAAGTTGGTTTTTTTTCAGAATAACT